GTATCATTGAATTTGGCCCAACGGCTCATTTGGGCACAAAGTTCCTGCTCCCAAAGTGCCTTTCTGGATGAGGTCGGCCCAAATTCCACTGAAACATGAAGATATCCCGCATGATTGACTGGATGACTGGCAACATTGCATTGGTTTCTCCTTTTTACACTTGCTGAAAGACAAGAGAGTCAGGCAAGGTATGGCAGGGGCATTTGAAGCATCGGCTAGGAGAGGGACATGATCTACCCCGCGCCGAGTTGGCAGGAAACCGCTGGATGGCGGGGAGGGCCAGTAGGGGTTGCCATGGGTGTGAATGACTCTTGATGGGTGCAAGCTTGAAGCACGTGCTGGTGCCACCGTCGGGATGACTGCACATGCCACGCAGGTTGATCCAATGATTGGCACAGGATGCGGCAGCTTTACTTTCATTTGCTTAAGAGTATTTTTAATTTTCCCTTGTTGGTTCTAACGGGAATTTATCACTATTGGAAATATGTTTTATTTATTTATTTTCCAGGGGCTTAAGCAAATGCAGGTTTAAGGGAAGACTTAAATGGACAAACTACAAACCCCACATAGCAGGGCCATGCTGACCTGACTGCTGTCCGAAATTGTTAGAACATGTTATGAAAGCAAGCGGTTTGGCTTTGGCTTTCATGTCGGTTCTCCCTGTTTGCTAGAGGCGGCTTTTTGGGTCACGATGCTAGTAACTGTTGACGGAAGCGCTCGGGCCGGCTGCGTTTGAGCCACCACTCGCAGTTCCAAAGCTTGGGCTTGCAGCTGAAGGAAGGAATGCAGCAGACCGAACTTGCCGACCCCAGACACAGTCACTTTATCTATGCCTCGTGGCCTAGTAGTGGTTGTGTGAGTTGCTTGCTTGCTACTGTCGGAACTAGACTCGACTGACTTTGGCGTTGTTGGTTGCTCTAGCCCCTCCCACCCCACCCACCCGCCCCCCGAAGTTCCAGATCTTCCGAGTGAATGCATGACCGGACTCTGACACCTGTCAAGCCGAACCTGGCACTGGACATGCATATTCAAGCTCGCAGTTTGCCCAATCCAGGATTCGGATATCAATAGACCTTGACCACAAATCAGCCCCGTTCGACTTGCAGGGAGGCGCGGGGTCTGAGCGCGCAGACCCTGCCATGGCCGCATCGCGCCCACCACCTATGCAGCCATGGCGGCCCCTCGGAACCACTGATCACCATTGTGCTCACGGGGTGTTGTTATTGTCATGTGTGTGTGTGTGTGCGGGTGTGTTGTGAGGGTATCCTTTTCAGGTTGGTTTGAAGGGACATGCAAGGCAAACCAGTAGCCTTGAAGGTGCCGTATTTCTCCACACACCCATGTGAGTTCAGGTTGTTCTGGTCTTGCCCCTGTTGTTGCTGATGCCTTTGTTCTTTGGTGAAGTGGCACCCTGCTTGCGTTGCAGATTGAGGCAAGGTGAGGGGATGTGAGGGGCTGGCTTGTCGCGTTTTGCCATACGTTGGTGTAGGTTTGGCAAGTTGTCCTATGTTTGTGTTGCTTCCTTGCACGTCCCCCCCCCCCCAGTTTAAAGGCCTAGGAAGTGGTTTAGCAGGCAGCAAACTTGCGCCCGCTGCACTTGCACGCATTTGAGCAAGTTGTTTCAACTTATGATGCCCGTCAACAAAGATTGCACTGTGCTAACAACAAGTTGTTCGCTTTTGTTTGTTCGCAGAAGAAAAGGACCGGAACCGTTGGGGCAAGTTGCCTTGGGCATTCGCACGCTACACGTAGGTGTAGACATACATAGGGCATTCGCCGTATTCGGGCCCCATTCCAAGGGACAATTATTTTGTCTAAGAGGTCTATTGCCGGGCCCTTTGACATGCCCACCACCGCCCCAACTTGGCTGTGTAAAAATCGCGATTGCAGATGAGAACATAAGCTCGGTATGACGAGCCTGTTTGTAAGAGCAGCTCTGAGATGACGAGCTCCAAGATTGCTGCCTGTGGCACCTCCAGGATTGGACTGGAGCTTATCAAGTGGCTCTTTCCTTCACATCTCCCAGCAGTCAGCTGGGAATTCAGCCCTAAGCTTGAACCCGTTCGCACTTTTCCAGGGCCGGCATGTGGACTGCATGCGAGGTCGCTCGGGCTCGTCGGCGGCTTAATTGCTGCGAAGGACTCACCAGCCAAGGGCGGAGCTCACACAACTTTCTATGGGGTATTCTTATCATTCAGAGGCATCAAGGCTTAAAGGCAATTGTGCAACTAGAGGTGGTACAATGGGCCGCAGCCCTGACGATCAAATGCCAGCCAGTGCAAAACCCAACAAGCACCTGATGAGATCCAGGACCAGGTAGGAAGCAACATCATGTAGCAAGCTGCGCCATCAGCCATCTCCTAACTCCTTTCTTCCAAGTCACCAATCCATCAGTTCAGACCGAGCTGTAAGTACTTTGCACGTGGCTTAGTTTCCCTGTCCGTCCGAGTCAGAGCTCCACTGCGTCAAGCCTGGCGAAGCCTGGCCTCCGACCGCAGGTGGGGATGGCGTTGGGTCAGCAGCTGGCATTGGGGTGTAATACTGCGCTGTGATTGCCCGAAAGGTGGCAACTTAGTGTTTTTGTTGAATTGTACGCTGCTGATGGAGTCTTTTTTGCCACCTGTGTGCGCAACACGGGCACATCGCGTCAGTTGGGATATTTGTTTCCGGCGTTTCGCTGCGCAGAAGCTTTGAGCCAGCTTTGAGCAGGCCGGTTACCTGCTTTCCGCTACCGGTTCCCTTGCCATGGTCCGGCAGCTGCTTCTGAGCAAGATGCACAATGGCAGTCAACAAACTGTCACATCACCAAGCAAAAGCACCCCCAATAAAAGGCATTTGCTGGCTGTTCCTTTTGACTGATGCGTTTTCCTGATTGTTGTGGCATTGACTGATATTGCCATGTCATCACTCAGGACTATCGTATTCTACTATGTTACGCTAGCCACTGCCATGTAGAGTTGTGATTATCATTGCCTTGCAACATTTCAGTGCCCGGAGACTGCGTTTGATTCAATGGGCCTCTCATCGTCCCAAGACGTGGCAAGAACCGTCTTGTGTCATGTTTCGCTGCTTTCCAGGCTCTGCAGCGGACCGGAGAAAGGCGGGAACACCACTTCATGCTTGGAGTTCCCAAGGCCTTACTGGAAGATGCTTCTCATGTTTTGCGTTGGGAGCCGCGTGAAAAAGACGTGTTTGGATCAGGTGTCCTTGATACGCTCCTGCAAATTAGCATGGAACCCCAAAAAACTCATGAAAAAGAGGCCACACCTCTTGGAAAACCCGCGTTCTTGTGTTCCATGTTAATTTGTAGGGGAATAGCATGTGTGTTTCATTCCCATGTCTAGCGCAAAGTTGATGTGAGTTGGCCTCATGCATTAGGTGCGAACCTCGTGTGTGCTGCATTATGTTTGAGCGCTGCCCTAGTGGCTCGTTCTTTGTAAATAATAAGCATTTCTGTTAGCACACGTGTTGCACTCAGCCAGCGGTTCGCTGCACCCAGGAGTCGGGCCCTGGAGCACATTGCTGGAGGAGAGTAAGAAGTTGGCTCGGGGCGGGTGTTAATTACGCAAGAACGGTAGTGTGCACCTCGCCAAAGCCAACGATTGAGAACAGAGCATTGCAGATGCTAATTTTGTGGCCAAACGCCGCTGCCTCTGATGGCAGGATTCCTTCTTACAACAGTCAATGCCCGCGTGGCGTAATGGCCAGGCGGTTTTGTATTGTTTGGTAGGCATGTCGACGTGCTGCATTCAACATCAGATGAGAAAAGTAAGCGAGGGCCTAGCAGCTTCTATTTTTGGCCATCGATGTTTGCCTGCTACTGGTGCAGAATGTGCAATACTGTGGATGGACGAAATCCTGCACCACTTTGAAACCATGGAAAACCATTGTTTGTTGGTATTTACCGGGAAATCATCATTCCATGCTTTGTTTGGTGGTGCAGGATTTCGTCCATCCACAGTAGGACCATGGACCATGTAGCAATTGGAGCGGGGCTGGGCTGGGCCAAGCAGAAGCCTCGCCCAATGGTCAGGAGGTCAATGGTCCCGCGGCGCGCGGAGATGTGGTGGGTGCCAGGGACGCTTTCTATCGCATCCTCGCCGCTAGGCAAGCAATTGGCACGTGGCGCACATGGCATAGCATTAGGGAAGCATCCATAAGCCCGTCACAAGATGGGTGGAACAAGGGCTGTGGGCCCAGGGGAATTTCATGGGAGAGTTGATAGCTTTCACAGAAGACCTTTGCTTGCGGCTACAAACCCTGCAGAATCTGTGGTATCGGTGCATTTTTTGCCCAATAGCTTGCAGTTTCCGGCGGGGGCGTGCCTTTTGAAGTGATCGGGGGCCGAATGCGAAATGTAAGACGAACCCCCGCTAAAGTTGTTGCTTATTCATTGTTTGCCTGGCTCTTCAATGTTTGTTGCAAGCATGGCTCACAAAGGTGCTGCCTCCTTCCTCCACCGTTGGTCGTGACAATCCATGGGTTTGCATCATGTCAAAGAGCAGATGCTTGGCAGCCGTGAGTGCGAAACAAAGCACATGCTACCAGAAACAACCTTGCCCGCAACAGCACTCTGCTGAAAGCATTGTCATTCGCACCTCCGCTTCCCCTATTTGCAGCCCAGAGCTTTCGGCCTTTTGGGGAAAGGCAAGGCACGTGTTTGCACCGAGGCCGAGCAGAAGCCAGCGCTGAAAGTGCAGTGGCTTGGGCAGCACATGGCAACGAAATGTCCCTCCTTCCCTTAGCATGGCATCTCGGGATTTCAAGGGTTTTGGCATGATGGGATTCAACCATGTGCGGCGCGTGTGGGCGGATTTGTTTCATGACCTGGTCTTGTGCCTTGACCAGCCCGCAATGCGAAGCTTAAGCAGTTGCTGAGTCTCTGGACAGAACTGCATCAGCCACCATCATCAAGCTGGGCCTACTTCATCAAACCTCTCCACACACCCCTCACCGGTTGGCCCACCCTCGCCCACCCGCGGCGCACGCTAGCCTGCGCAATGCTCACCGCTCTGCGGCGCCTGGTACCCCGCGTGGTGCCGACTGCGTCGAGCACCCCGGCGCTTGAGTCGCCGCTGCGGTCGCCGCTGTCGCAGCTGCGGTCGCCGTTGTGGTCGGCGCTGGGGGCGGTGCGCGAGAAACAGACCAAGGTCCAGGCTCGCGCCGCAGCCTTGAGCGGTCACGGCCTTGCAGCGGGTGACGAGAGCTAGGGATCTTTGGCTTGAAGCCGCGATGTCACGCCTGGACAGGCTGAAGTTAGTCATGTTAGTGTATGCTCTCGCATATGAGTGAACAACCTTCTCAAAGCCAGTTTGGCAAGGGACCCTTCCGCAGCTTTGCGTCAGGACTGGTCTTTCTTCATGCTTCCTTGGCTTCTTGGCTTGGCTTCTTGCTTCCGTGTTTCGGCCCGCGCCTCCCGCGCCAGGCCTATTGGAAGCCGGCCCGCGCCAAGCCTTGTGGGCAGCGAGTGCCCAACAAGGGCCACATCGGGCTCAAGGCCACCCCGGCGGAGTACGTGGAGCAGAACCGGGTCATCGTCAAGCAGCGGCGGCTCGCTTGAGCTCGGAATAGCTCGGGGAATGCGGGAAATGCCAGTGGATGGCTGCGTTGAGGTTTCAGCAGGGTTTCTGTTGCGTTGGGAAGTTGGGCAGGTGGTTGAAAACGTGCCGGTGCGGAAACCCTGGCCCACAAAGGAACACACTTGGTCACTCCTTGCCCGGACACATGCCCTCATCGGCAGCATAGGGACAGCGCATTCGGCCCCTTGCTCACATGCTGCCAGACCCATCCATGCGTCGCAGGAACTGCTTGCCTAGCTGAGGACATACCTGGCGAAGAACCCACATGTCACGCGGAAGCGGCATTTCAAGTACTACCCAGGAGGGGCTTTTGCGGCAGGGCAGAACTCTCGTAAATAGTTCCCACACTCATGGTGAAAGTGGCTGACTCCTGCTGACTCAAAGGTTGCCCGACACCAAATGGCCTCACGTTTCTTTCAGGCTTGAGCCTCGGATGTGCTCTGTATCGCAGCAAGATGAGTTTTGCCCGCGGCATTGATCGTTTGAAAATGTGGAAGGTTGATCAAGTTGATCGTGGGGCATTGGAAGAGTGGTTCCCTGGATTCACAGTTTGCCGGGGCCAGGGCCATGCCGCTGAAAGTAGAGGAAGTAGAGGACGCCTTTCCAAGGGGTCCCAATGCCCCCAACAGGAGCAGAACAGCTCAACTGTGCTTCCCTTGCGGGATGGCCCCTCCTCTTTCACCCACGTCACTCCCTGTTTGTTTGGTGGGCACTCCGCCAAAAATGGTCAACCCCCCAGCACTCCCAGTAGGGTGGTCGGATCCTTTTTTTCCCCAGCAGCTGAAAGCTTTGGGGTCTCAGCCCAGATAGGCTCCGGGGTGGTCCGGGGTGGCCCTGAGGTAAGGTTCCACGAGGGTTCCACCAGGGTTCCACCAGGGTTTTACCAGGGTTCCACCAGAGTTCCACCAGAGTTCCACCAGGGTTGCACCAGGGTTCCACCAAGCTTCCACCAAGGTTCCACGAGGGTTTTGCGAGGGCTGTGAGGTGCGAGCACAAAAAAGAGCACTGCATGCTGTTGGGGATATCACCTGAGCTTATTTGTTTTTCTTCGACCTTTCAAGCTGAGCTCGTGAAAATTTGCGCTTCGCCGCGAAGCGCAGGAGTGAACGTCACCGTCATGAAGAACACCTCTCTGAAAGCGGCAGTCAGTGGCCGTGTGAAGCTCACCCACGACGTCACTCGCGACGTGATGATCATGAACGCGCCTCGCTTCGGGGAGTTCCAGAAACTCTTCTAGGGTGTTCTTTTGCAAGTCTCCTTTTGGGGGGAATAAAGGGAACCTGAAACATCCATCTATTTGAGGTTTCCCCCCAAATTTAGTGACTTAGTGACAAACTCTTGAGCTTCCATCGGTGTTCTAACCTCACATGCTTTGCCAATAATCATTGAGTCTGTCCTTGGCCGGGTGTTGTTTAAACTGGGCATATACAGCTCTGTTCCAACGGTCACCTGATGCTTGTTTGGGCAAGACGCCTTGTGTGGAAAGGCATAAGCGACTGGCTTGCAGAAAGCTGTTTCCCTGGCATAGTCTGTTTCAGGTCCTACATGCATAAACTCCTGGTCTTCCTTTGGCATTTGCCTGCAAAATCACATTTCACTGAAAATGGGCCAGACACAACAATACAAATCTGTGTTTTTTTCCTGGATGGTGGTGAAGCCTGCAGTCCTTGTTGGTTTTCATTTTTTTGATCCTTTCTGGTTGTTTGCCGCTATTGCTGGGTTTTGCGTGGGGGGTCGCAGGCGCATCGATTTCCGGTGAGGTCCTGGCGGAGCCCCGAGAGGAGCTTCAGAGGGACGACTTGTGGCGGTACCGCACGGAGCACGTGGAGTCCAACGAGGACGTCGATGGTTTTGCCTTGGGCCTAGGTGGGACGGTCGTTTTGTGGGGACCTCTTGGCTTCAGGGAAACCAAAGGGACGGCGACTTCTTTTTTCCTCAACAGCTGAAAGCTTTGGGGTCTCAGCCCAGATAGGGTTCGGGGTGGTCCGGGGCGGCCCTGAGGCAAGGTTCCACGAGGGTTCCACCAGGGTTCCACCAGGGTTCCACCAAGGGTTCCACCAGGGCTGCGGGGTGGTCCGGGGTGGTTTGAGGTAAGGTTCCACGAGGGTTCCACCAAGGTTCCACCAGGTTCTGCAAGGGCTGCGGGGTGGTCCGGGGTGGTTTGAGGTAAGGTTCCACGAGGGTTCCACCAAGGTTCCACCAGGTTCTGCAAGGGCTGCGGGGTGGTCCGGGGTGGTTTGAGGTAAGGTTCCACGAGGGTTCCACCATAGTTCCACCAAGTTCTGCGAGGGCTGCGGGGTTGTCCGGGGTGGTTTTAAATAAGGTTCCACCAGGGTTCCACCCGGGTTCCACCCGAGTTCCACCCGGGTTCCACCCGGGTTCCACCAGATTTTCACCAGGTTCTGCAAGGGCTGCGGGGTGGAGCAAGGTTCTGCAAGGTTTGGTTCCATGAGGGCTTTGAGGTAAGGTTTCACAAGGTTCCACACAGTTCCGCAAGGATTCCACAAAAGTTCCACAAAGCTCCACAAGGCTCCACAAAACATTCCCTGCGGGGAAGCAATGTGTCACCGGAGCAGTAAATTGAGGGCTCAGAAGATCGCTTTGCTCATGGGCGGAACACTAAGCAAAACCGAAGTCATTTTTTCAGCACACTTTCACTGTTTTGTGGCAAATCGGACCACGCTGCTGCGGGACTCACTGCGCAGCAGAGGTGGGCTTTGGGTTCCAAGAGTTCCACAAGGCTGCGAGGGCTATGGGGTAAGGTTCCAAAAACGCTCCACGAGGTTTCTAATTACCAGGTTCTGCAAGAGCTATGGGGCAGCCCTGAGGAAAGGTTCCAACAAAGTTTCACGCTGAGTTGGACGAGGGTTTTATGAGGACGGTTTGCGAGGTTCACGGGGCCCAGGTCGGGGCCCGATTGCACCGTCAGGGCCCGATTGCACCGTCGGGCCCCGATCGGGGCCCAGCTCAGTTGGGCCTCGTCAACTGTACCAAGCTGGCGTCGCCTAGCTTTGCTAGGTACAGTTGTAAGGCCACATGTTAAGGAAAACCGGCGTTGAGCTATAATATGGTTGGCTGGGGTTGGTGGGATTGCACCGTTGGGCCCCGCTCGGGCCCCGATTGCACCGTCGGGCCCCGATCGGCCCCGATTGCGCTGTCGGGCCCCGATCGGGCCATTGCGCCGTTGGGCCCCGATCAGGGCGCGATTGCGCTGTCACTCTTTGCTTTGCTTTGCTTTACAAAGTTACAAGGCGGCATCCTCAGCAAAACCGGGTGCTGTTGGGGATATCGCCTGAGCTTATTTTTTTTGGGGGGGGGCTGCCTGAACCGCGCTTGGTGGAGTGGCAAATTGGCAAAAGGGTAGCTTGCTAGCTGCTAGCGCGCTGTGTCTCCCTGGGTTCAAAACAGTTCCTTCAAATAGTCCCCAGCTAGAAATCGTGCTTGCAGGGCAACTTGGATTGTCCTCATGAATGTTTGCGTGTTTTTTGTGGCTTGTTTGCGCTGTATGTTGTTGATGCTCCACGCAAGTATAGATTGTCAGATGAGTTTGGCTATGTCAACGTGGTAGGTGATGTGTTTGCTTGGCTAGTTCCATCCCACTTCAAGGATTTTTCAATAATTGCATTCAAGAACTCGCTAGTCCAAGAAGCTGATCATATGTTATCATTGTCATTGACAGCGGGTTTTGGCCCGCCTCTCAACGGCTGCAATGGGCGGATGGAGGAGAACCGAGAGCTTTGCGCCCTGCGCTGCAAGGCCCCAGCCCGGCTTATGGAGGTTGTTTCAGTCAGCTGCGAGAAGATGAGCTTGGTGCATATTGCAGTGGATGTAAGTTTGTGCAGACTGTTATATGTAACTAAGATATGTTAAGATAAGCTTGGATGGTAAGATGAGCTTGCCTTGGACACAGTCAAGTCAAAACGTAGATTGTTAAACTGTTAGGCTACTGGATCATGCATTCAAGCTTTTGCAAGTAAGGGAGCTGAGAAGAAGGTTTGCGTTGGTAGCTTTGTCTTCGGCGGCCATTTTGCCTGGCTTAGTGCAATCCTCGAAAGATCCGCTATGGAGTTGCGAGTGCGAAGGTCTGTTTGGCTATTCATTTCTTTCTCTTTGGCAGATCATATCCTGGAACTTATGTTATGGGCTTGCTGTCAGCATTCGTTCGCCTTTCAATATTTGCTACCTTGTCGCCAATGCAAATAAACAACTGGCGCAAGGGGGGGGGGTCTGATTCCAAGGGAGGCCCTTCAGATTGTACTGATATGGTTCACACGACGTTGGAAATCCGCAGTGCTTCTTGAAATCTGTCTGAATTTCGAAGACCTCAGGTCTGGGATGGTTGGCCTTTGCTTTGTGCTGAAAGACCAAGTCCACTGCGATTGTTTGGCGAATGGGTTGCATCAGATTGTTGACATGTGTTGACAGTGTTGGAGCCAGGTGCCCCGTTTTGCTTCACGAAAATGTTCACGCCCAAAAAGGAGACCAACCCGAAAGTGCAATGTTTCCTCGAGGGGGCTCAGTAGCTGGCGGTTGGGCACATGGAACTCGCTGGTGAGGCGTTCCATATCTTCGGCAAGGACGGTGGCTGGGCGACTTGGCGATCCATGGGGAAAACCTGCGGCTTTGCTTTTCCGCTGTGGGCTTCTTTGTGTGAAGCGTGGCTTGGCGTTTCAAACGCAAAGGGGGGACAAGCTGGGCAGTCAGAACCTGTTCTTCTGCAGGGACACGCAGGGACTGAATTGAAGGTCTTGGAACAGCCCACTGAGAGGCCTTGTGCCATCGCAACATCTTGCCTTGAGGTTTTAAGCAAAGTGGTGCATGAAGGGAGGTCCCGGGCAAAGCGGGTTCCGGCAGCACTGACGCCTCTCCCATTGCAACCTATAGGCCTCATTGAGGCGTGCCTCTTTAGGCAGGCAGTTTCATGCCCCTTGCCCCGAGCCGACGGATCGGCTTTTCGTCCAAGGTGAATCAGCCGGTGGGGCCCAGACCCATGAAGCCCAAGATTTCAAACGGCAACGACCGCTGGCGGCCTGGCAAGTCGGGTAAAAGGCGAAGGAGTGTTTTTTTTTGTCCCCCCTTTGCTACCTGCCCTTGTTTGTTTGACGTCGCCGGGGCGAGCCTATGCTCTAGGAACAATCCTTGCGTGCGAGACGCACTGGAGATGGAGCCCTTCGCCTACCCTTTGACGCTTAGCTTAGATACGGCCTGTCACGTACACGTTTTGATGTCAAACGCGCCTCTCCAATTGACAATGCCAAGTTATGGTTGGTACATCATGCACATGTATTGATACAAATTAAGATGTATTGTCTGAACCCTTGGTTTCCGTTAGGTAATGCCTCCAACTGTTGGGAAAGCAAATGATGGCAGCAGACACTCGGGTTGGAAGCGCTGCAGTCTTCAGCAAACAGTCTGCAGACTCACATGCTTGGCTCTTCCAGGTGTGGTCATTTTGCCAGACAACTGGCTGTTTCAAAGGCGTTCTTATTTGTTGCCCCTAGCGACCTGCCTCAATAGCAGAGCCAGCCTGTGGATACCAGGAGCTCCTTGCATGTGTCACAGTGGCAACTCCTGCGTCGGAATTTGCGGAAAGAAGGTACCTTGTAACTGTGAAAATTGAACCCCTCATTCCTTCTCCCTTCCAGTAGGGGGTGAGCCTGGCCTATGTGTGCATGAGTTTTGTAATTGGCGATTTCAGCGGGAGTTATGCCCTTGGAGTTCCCCATTGGCATGGTGTCTCCTGCAAACTCCTCTTCCGAAGGAGCCGTGACCAGCTTCGGCGCCACATCCGCAAGGTGCGAGCGCGGCAAGCTGGGGTTCCAGAGGCGGGGCCATGGCACTTGGGGACGCTTTGACCAAAGAAAAAACGGTTCCTCCATGGCAAACGCGAAGCAAGTGTTCCAAGCCACATGAGGAAACACCCCATGTCAGGAACAGAACGACCCGGAATTCCAGATCACCGACATCCACTTCAAGAAGTTCCACGGTCAAACTGCCCAGCGCTAGGCCGCTAGGCCATGTCTTCGCCTGCTGGCCGGCCGCGACGGAAGCATATTGTGCCAAGCGGACCGCTCATAGTCTCGTGAACCCATGAAGTTGGTTTAAAATATCCTGACTTTGTCCACTTGAGCCATGAACAAACAGGCCCTAGAAAAGATGGTCTTAGCAAAGCACAGATGGTCTTTCTGTCAGATGCATGGCTCCGTCCTGCCAGCAGAAAACCGTCTCACTCACTCGGATTCTATGCGAGGCGCAGGCTTCCAACAGCTCGAAGCTGTGGAAGCGCAGTCCTTGCGACTCCGATCGGCATCGTCAGGTCGTCTGCCCACGTACCCTTTGCCTTCCTGTAGTGCGCACCCGGTACAAGTAAGCCCAGCCAATTCAAATACTCAGATTATGTGCCAGGCACGCACAGTCGCTTGGCTGGGGGATTGACTTCCGGATGGTGCCAGGGCGCTCGTTGTTTCTTGCGCGAGTTTGTGGCTTGTGGCGGCATCAAAGAGTGACGCGCGATGCTAAGAGGTCATGACAGCCATTCAAAGATTTATTAGACCGCGCTTGGCCCTTGGGAAGGTTCAATGCGGCTTTGCCACTGGACCCGGCTATGCATATGGTAAGCAAGGCTGTGTGCTGCTTCATGTTGGCGTTGAGTGGCAAGGCTACTGGTAGGATTCTATTTCGAGGGGCATTCAAACATATAGTATAGAGCCCCTTGTACTTGCTAGTTGCCAGGATGCAAATGCGAGCCAGGATGGGCCATGCGTACGGATGGGCCATTTCGCAAAGCCTCCAATAGTCTTGAAGGGCCCTTCCGAAAGGAATTTGCCGATTTCCCGGCATCAGTTCCAAGAGACTTTTACCCCAAGCAGCGAGGGCCCGGCTGCTCCCCGGCAGGCGGAACTTGGCCAACTGCGTGCTGAAAGCCTATGCCATCGCTGCGGATGCTGAGGGCGCTTGGGCTTGGGCCAAGACCATGCATGAGATGCACCTGCCCTTGAGCGCGCCTGGGCCAGCAACGAGCAACGGGGGTTTGCCCGTCCCCAGTTCCCCAGTTCACCCTTGCAGCCGAAATTCACTGCTGATTCAAGTAGGTTACGCTTTGGGATCCCAGGTACTGTTAATCTAAGACTCGGGAAACCACAATCAACAAAGATAAAGGCTGACCAGTTTTCACTCGCAGATTTGAAACATGAAATCACTGACCACGGAAAGCCTGAGCCTTTCAAGCGTCTATCCACACCGTTCACTCGGAGTTGCCGTGCCAGTTTTGGCGGATTCCATGCCCACACCCACTCGCCGACGGGTGAAGTGCGGCCGGCTGAGGCCTGGTCGGTGGGGAAGTTGTTTGGGGCTGCTGCCCGTTCCAAAAGTTCGGCCACGGAGGAGTGGCTGCGGCAGAGCCCCTGGGCAGAAGGGGAGGCCTGGGTGCAAACTCAGGAGGTGCGTGCCTGGGGTGGAGGTTGGGGGCGAGTAGAGGGTCGTTTGCAAGACCGGCTAAGAGAGGAGGGGAGATTCGTGCAGGTTTGAGTCATGTTCAGCGTGGGAGGCCAGGACCTGCGGCTGCCCCTGGACGGTACCGCCACAAGCACCTGGGCTGGAAACTCTTGACATTCTTATGTCGGACAAGTAGCATGGGTACACAACACTGGTTCATTTCGCTTGGTTGCGTGGTGACTGTTGCCGTGGGCATTCCGGTGTTTGACACGTTTGCTCGCAGTGCTGTTCTTGTTATTGTCCTTACCATGCAGTGCTTTATCGTGTCACCCAACGAGCTCTCACATGATGTCATGTTGCAGGTTGGGATTTGATGTTCCGTGGATGTATGTGTGTGTGAAGTGTTGATGGTGTTCTGTTTGGGCGGTGCCCCGGCCGTATCAGTATCTCGGCGGTTTCCAGGTGTCGCGGTCGTGTTGTTGGTGTCCTTGCGGTGCTTGTGCGGTGTCGAAGTGTCCCCATCATTGTCCAATTGTCCCATTGTCCAACCATGAGCAAAGTTACATCGCACAACTCGCTTGCGACCAGCAGGCCGGAGTGAGTTGTGTGGCAAAAGCAAGAAACATGAACAAGAAAGGCACATAGACGAAACACTTTGGGGCAGCATGGTTGAGCGCACCTCCTTTGTTCAAAGTGAGCCCTTGGCCAGCCAACTCTAGACTACTTGTGCTCCATCATCAGTGACAGTCAGCCATCCGTTCGTAGGAATTGCCCGTGTTGCGAGTGCACGAAGAAAGGGCACGCCTGCCCCGGGCAAGAGTTTGCGAAAAGCCTTTGTAGATAAAATCTCAAAGTCTTAAAATCTGATAACAATTTAATAATAGAATCATAAACTCTTACAATTCTACAATAATAGAATCTGTAAATCCTAAAAACACACTCCGCAGGCCAACTGAAGCGCACCAAGGGACCATTTGCGCCGCTTGCGCCCACGCCACTGCAGACCAGCAGCGGGCGCTGTCCTGGCTCCAGCGTGCCCAGCGAGAGGCGACTGGGATGGGTTACTGCTTCTTAGTGGTGAACTACTGGTTTTGCAGGTTGGTGGGTATCGGCCTATCGTTTTTTTTTGGATGGTCACTAGTATTGCTGCCCGATGGCTGACAATATTCAACTATGATCATCCACAGGTCGGTGGCAAGAAGGCATTGGGGTATTGTGTGTAAGTAGGTGGCATCCCATTGACATTCCGTACTTAGCATGTAGTCAGATTGCATCTTCTTGGAAGCTGCATTTCAGAAAACATGGTTTGTTTTGGCCATCAGATGTAGGTCGGAAACAGAACAAACAACGGGAATACCTTTGTATACAAACAAGTTCAAGCCTAGCTGAGGTACACGGCGCATAGTCAGAACATGTGGGGCTTGGTAAGAGGAAAGACGAGTCTGTTGACGTGTTTTTGCTCTGAGCCAAGCACAAACCCACATAATTGAACAGTAATTGAAAGTAATACCCAGAAAGAGGAAAGCTGCATTCATCATTCAGCAAAATGAGGAAAGTAGCAGTGAGTTGGTGAAAAGTTGTATTCAGCAAGGGGGAGTGTTTTTGCTGTTGGCTTTTAATTTGGTATAGGGCTGAGTTTTAGACGCACAAAAGTTTCCTGAAGTTGGACATGAGCCTACGACGTGTGACACTTTCTGGATGTTCTCGCAATCTTTGCCAGATAATCCCAGCACAGACAGTTGCCCATATGCGTTAATTGGAGGTTGCACCTTCTGAGGCTGACTGCAACATTTGCAACTCCAATGGAACGAGCGTGATTGAATTTGTAGTTGATTGGTGACATCAGCGGGTTGACTGACTGATTTGCTGCTTTGCGCGCCTGAGTTTCACAATCACCGCCTCAGTAAACAGCACAGGGGCAAAGGCGACTTGTGACATACTTGTATGAACCCTTTGAAACCGGGAACATGGTTGCAGAATTAAATTGCGTGATATATTTGTTCAAGGCATCGGCGTCGGTCTGCAACTTCAGGTGGCCATGGATGAGCGGCCTGAGGCGGCAGACACATGGGCCGGGGATGGGCCTCCCAATGCTCATCACTGAGCCTATTTCAATTTGGCCTGGTTGACTTCACAGACCCCCCAGGATAGAGCTAGATATGAAAGAGGGCCTGTCTGCAACAGTTATTTACTGTTTCCTTTTCTGAGGGGTTTGACGAAACTAAAACACATCACCCCTTTTCGTTGTAGGAACCAGGTGTGGTATCTGAGTTAGACCAAGTTAGACTTTTGAGCACTATTTGTTCAGCACATGACTGACCAAGCCGCGAGCAATACAATTACACTTCTGAGTTTTCCCCACAACGCACGAGTATTCAAACCATTCCCTGGGCGCAACTGAATATATCACCCAGCTTGAACGTGTTGCAATGCCCCTGGGATTAAGACAAACCCAAACCACAAAGTCAATTGTCTTTGCATTCGTGAGAACAGTGGATTTGTGAGAAGCCAGCCCAGTGGACCCGCAAATGCCCATCCAAGCGTTCTTTGGTGCCATCAAAGATTGGCATCTTGCACTAGCAGAGCCAGCTTTGACACAGCTGCCAGATGACCTGTGGGCCAAAGGATGCACATATCGGATTGCATGATGCAAATGCACAGGCACAAGCTGGCAACCCCCAAGGCCTTCAAAGGTTAAGCGTTTGTTGTGCTTTCGATCCAACATGACAATTAGATACAGAGCAGCTTGCAAACGGAAGAGTCCAAAATCGCAGCTAGCCAAGAGGGCACCTAGCGTATCACCTTGCGCATGCTACCACGACGTCTCACCAATCCTGCAACGGCATTGGTTCGTGTTCAGTCGCTAAGGTTACCGCGCCAGCATCCCTCTTACAAGAAGATCACACCGCCCAAGCAAAGGGTGCTGCCCCTGATTTGGAGATTTCCGGCTTTTGTGCAATGCAAGCGAAAACATACAAAATCGATATTGATAGACTGCTAGCTAGCCGGTCCTTGAGACTGTAAGGTCCTTCGAAGCAGCATCTGAATCTGGCAGTTTGGGGGTAAGATCTTTGTGTCTGAAACGCGCCTGTAACGTCTCAAGCAATCCCAGATTGACGTGCTTTCCGCAGGCTCAAGGAGCTTCCCCCGAGGCGGAGCCTCCTGGCCAAGTCCTAATTTCCTGCTGCAGGGCGCCGCAAGCGAGCAAAAGCAATTCCTTACTGTTCTCGGTGCCTCGCTCCACGATCGTTCTGTCTTGTTTTTGTTGGGCTTATTCTCCACGGTCCGTGCGAACGTGGGCAGCCGCCCTTGGCCGCTGCCACGGCTCAGGAACCAGGTGGTGTCCTACACCACGCTGGCAAAAGCTGCTGCAAAGCTGGGAGACCTGGCACAAGTCCACTTCTGGATCCAGCAGATTGAGGCCAGCCAGGGGCAAATCAGCGGAAGGCAGATTGCCATCGTTTTGGGCAAGATAAAAGTTGACGTCACCATTGAATGTGAGAGTCGACTAGGTAGTGGCCAGGGCTCTTTGTAGATTTTTGTCACGTGTGTGGCTTTTGGTTTTCGGTGTT